AGGTACCCTAAGAAGTCATTACGATCTTATCACAGAGCACCGCGGATGAGCATTTAATTGGAAGTTCACGCTTCCTTTCTAACCGATATTGCAAAACTTGCTCAGAGGTGGGGTTTGAACCACGATCCTTTGTTTTTTAAGCAACAACCCAACCACTACTCTTATTTTTATTGAAATGAACAAAGTAGTGGAAAGAGCGCAAAGACGTTAAACCAAGAGAATAGCTATTCTAATTAACTTTTCATATTTTAATATACTTAGAACTCTTGGTTTGGAATTCGTCGCCTTAAGCAAGACATAATTAAATGTTACAAAATTCTGAACAATTTAGTTTGATTAAATAAATCAATTTTTTTTTTATTCATAACTATATTTACACTCGAGGTCACAAATTCAAATTACGCAAACTAAAGTGTAAACTCGATGTCCGTAAATCACTCAGGGTTTTTGAAATAACTTGCCGTCTGATGTCGTAAATGCCAAAAATATCAAGACCTTCAAAATTAAAATTAACTCTGTCAACTTTGAAAAATACTGCTCCAGTTAACCAGCTTTTGTTTTTAAAACTGTGGTCATATATATATATATATATATATATATATATATATATATATATATATATATATATATATATATATATATATATATATATATATATATATTTGTAAATTATCTGCACTGTTAAAAAAATAGCACGTTTTTACAGAAAAATTCCGGAAGCTGCAATATCCAAACCTCCCGTGATTTTATGGATAAACTTCGCATGTAAACGGAAGTTTCCATTTTTAAAATTTTGTTATATGAACTGTGTGCTGAGTCAAAAACAAAAATGATTTTTTTTTTTTAAATACAATGGAATTTACAATTTAGTATGACGCCTAAAATAAGTGCCAAGTTTTCTAAATTTTAAATTAAATGTGACACCATAGTAAAAAAATTTTCAACTCAGCACATTCATCTAACTTTTATTTATGTAAAAAATTCCAAAGAAAAATATTAGACCAAACCGAAAATATCTTTGTAAGAAAGTGGAAATTTTTTAAACAAAACACAAAAACAAATTAAATTACATTAAAAAAAAACAGACTCTTCCTATTTAAGAAATGAAATTAAGATAAATTTAAAAGCTTTTATTCCGTTGTTGTACATTTTTTATTGTTTATAAACGTTAAACCTTCCAAAAATAAGAAAATAAAATTTTTTAATTTTTTTGTATTCTTCAGATTTTCAATAGTGGGTAGTGGGTGGTAGTGGGTGGTAGTGGGTGAGTAGCCACCTCAACATTAAAATTACTAAAAATGACTTAAAAAAACTATTCCAATTTGCGACTTTGCAAACACATTTTATTTTTAATAGACAAACTCATACAATAAAAAGTTAAAGTGTCTTACCTTGCATTGATTAAGGTCCTTACATATAATGAAAACTTCAAATTTATATTATTTTAAGAACCAAAAGCGATTCCGCTATATGACACTTCACAATACAAAATGGCAAAAGTGGCGGGAGTTAGCTAGATTAGTGAATCGTTTTTTGTAAACCTGGAGTTTTTCTGACGGGAAAGCAGCACAAATTTCATCAAGGTATCGTTTATAGATAACTGGTTTTTCACAGTTAAAACATTTAATCCATTCATTTTTAAAATGACCATGAATAAATTGGCAAGAATAGGTGCTAGTGGAGAACCTATTGCTACACCATCGATTTGATCATATTTCTTTCCAAAAACAGTTAAATTAAGTTTGATAATTACATTTTTCGTTACCAATAGAGTTAGCCTATTCAAGGCCGTCCCGAAGAGATTTAAAAGGGGGTTGACGTGTTTGTTTTTTTGCCGACTAAAGCGAAAACAATTTTTTTCCCCACTAACTTATCAAAAAAAAAAAAAAAAAAGGTTCTTCTTTTCCGACATTTGCCGACTGCCAACTATAGATTCCATTTTACCAACTCCAGTTCCAGTTTGCCGACTAATAAATTTCGTTGGCAACTTCATTCTACAAATAGACTCAGGTCCTCCCCCTCGGGACGGCCCTGAGTCTATTTGTAGAATGAAGTTGTGAATTAGTTAGTAGTTAGCTGTTTTGCTCTCTTATTTGTGTTTACTAATACTGTATTCGGTCATATTTTAGTTATTTCTTAATACATGAATACATGAATCTTAAGTACAGGAATTCCTTGAAATCATTAAAATATACTTCATTTTTTAGAATGTCATTTATCAAAGGCATTGATAATTGTAGTTGAAAAATGCACAGTGATTTTTCAATTTCTCATAAAGACAGCTCTATCGACGCAATGCCTTTTTCGATTTTTGACGAAGATTTTATGTTACCAAATTACACAACTGCTTTCGATGAGGAGATTTTCCCAACTCATGACACACCCACAAGTGGGAGTCTTCAGTCAAGCTTTTATGTCAAATCAAGATCCACAAATACCTTGCTATATAGTTTATAGCTCCTCATTAATAAACAATGACACAAGCAAAGGAAGAGATTATTATGCTCCCTTGGTTCCATATTCTGAGCTCTCTGACTCGGAGTCTGATGGTGATGAAGGAGGAACAAAAAAAGTAAAACGGCGAAGACGATGTCAGGTTAACAGATCCACATGGAAAGATCAGAAAAATTTTGCCAATCGAGAAAAGGAACAAAAATATTTTCATTGCAAAAGAATAGGCGATAAAGTAATTACTAATGTGCCTAAAAATGCAAAAAGGTTGAAACCAAGGTGTAAAGGGGTTTTAAACAAAATATCTGTCTTTTAATGTTTAGATATTTTAGACACAGATCAAACGGAAATCTTTCTAAGTTTTCGGAATATGACATGGGGAGAAAAGAAGGTGTCTGTTGATAGTCTTGCCAAATGCTTTTCTATCAAGAGACCGAGAGACAGAAAGGATGCTTTAAAATACAAAAGACTTAGCTCAATTGAGTATTATTTAAGGAAAGAACAAAAATTGTACAGAGTTTGTAAAACAATGTTCTTAAACACTTTGTGCATTGGAAAATTATCCGTGTGGGATTAGAAACAATCAAGGTTTATCGTCAATCAAACAGTATTATTGGTAGAAACACTTAAGACTAGAGAGAATCCATTTCATATAGAAGTAGCTTCACTTAAAAGATTTTTCAAAAGTTTGCCAAAAATAGAATTGCACTACTGTCGCAAAGCAACTTCTAAGAAACATATTTTACCCGAATGGTCGACAAAAAAATCCCTTCATAATTTTTATGTTTCTTTATAATTTTTATGTGTTTTATGTGTTTTTATGTGAATGGTGATTATCGAACAACATCGCCCATATGTCTGTAGTAAGATTCAACTACACCATGGAGACTGAAAATATTTTTCTATTCCACCCTAAAAAGGATTTATGTGAAAAATGTTTATCACACAAGCTGGGCTATATGTCAGACCTAGTCCACAATAAACACATACAATGAAAAAATAAAGCACGAATTGAAAAATAAAAAGACGAAGAACAGGGAGAGTTTGTTTTTACAGTTGGTTTACAAGCAGTTTTGCTTGCGCCCAAGTCAAATGTATCTTCTCTGTATTATAAAACGAAGCTATACGTTCATAACTTTTGAACTTACAACAAAAACCGGGTACTGTTACTTGTGGAATGAAATTGAGGGAGGACAAAATGCTGAAAAATATACAAGCATAGTAGGAAAATTTATAATCCAGAAATTTCTTCCTAGACTCAACACGCAAAACAATATTAAATTAATTTTATATAGTGTCACAAAATAGAAATTCAATATTGCTAAATGTTTTGATGAATATAGCGATTTCAAAGCAAATAATCATTGAGCAAAAGCATTTAGAGATTGGGTATACTTAAATGGAGGCCGATTCAATGCATGCATGTATAGAAAAGAAACTAAAAAATAAAGTTATTAATGTACCTGTAGATTACTACGGAATTTGTAGAAGTGCTCGTAAAAAACCAAAACCCTATGATGTTTCTTATCTGACGTATTCATTTTTTAAATCATTTGACTTAATCAAATTTTATAAATCTATAAGACTTGGAAAAATGAAAGGGGACCCCAAGGTATTGTTTTATCAAATATTTACATACCTTTTTCTTTAAGTCATTTGATTTTTTTTACTTAAAAGTATTTGGATTTATTACTAACAGAAAATGTTTTTAAGGTAACTGGCATTCGTGGCTTAAAACATAATATGAATGGCAACATATACTATAAGTTAAGGTTTACAAATGAGTGGCTGTTGCTACCGCAGCTTTATGACAAGCATATTACCACTAAAGATATTGAACAGTTGCCTAATCTGTACTCCGAAAAATTGAAAATTAAAAACAGAAAATTTCATGACCTCCAGTATTTAAAAACTGCCATGCCTTCAGAATATCACGATTTCTATGACAATATTCCATATCATGCATAATTACTTTTAAACAATAATAAATCTTACCAACACTTTAAAAATGTTTTTTCTTTTATTCCCGCATAATTTATATTGTATTTTCAAACCATTTTCTAGAACTCAAAATAAAAAAACTTTGCATCACTATTGGGGCTCGGTGATAAGGCTAATTTATGTCTTCTTCTTGCTCCAGCCAATTGTTCCTTTTATATTGTTATACATTGTGAATATTTTTAACGGCGAAATAAACTAATAAAACTAATTAATCAATTAAATTAAATATCCATAAAATTTTATTGTAAACCTATTTCTGAATAAACAATCTACCGAAATGTGTTTTGAAATTTTTATTTTCGATTTAATAATGAAATTATTCAGTTTTTTGTTGTTCCTGACTTTTCATACAAATGGAGATGGCTGGTTTACGGAATAAGCCATCGATATTTTTATTAGGAGTTATTTTTCCAACGGAAATATCTAAAATGTAAACATCCGTAAACATCTTAACCATGCATAGTTAAACAAATAAAAAAAACAACAATAAATTTATTCATAAATTAAATTTTTTTTTGATTTCAAAGTTCGAGTTTGTTACATAAAGTCGTTCTTTACAGTGTAAGTAAAAATTTCTTCCTGTTTAAAAAGACATTATTCAAAAACTTATGTTAAACATTTAATTAAATAAAAGAAATCCAATGCAAAATAATGATTTACAAAATTTAAAAAAACTCGTCTAATAATTCTTTTTTATTCGTCGTTGAAATAAGATTTTCCGTATCCATAACCTTATTATATGATCCACCATTACCTCTATATCTGTTATGTCCATACCCTTTATCTAAATAAATAAATTCAAATTGTTTATTAAAACTGTTGATTAACATATGAGTGTAGTTTATTATATTGTGAAAGATGAAAAGGAAACTTTAAAATAAAGTTTACTTTATAAATTATTTGAGGTATCTTTTATTGTTGATTTAGATTCGTCATAGTAGTTGTTTCCGTATCCATACTCTTTGTTATAGTAGTTGTTTCCATATCCATACTCTTTGTACCCACCGTATCCACCGTAGCCATATCCTTGGTCTTTAAGATTTAAAAAATACTCAGTTTTTTCACAATTTTATTAATTAAAATATTATCATTAATAAATGTTTTAAATAAAGCTTACTGTATGAATTATAAGTAGGGTCTTCTTTTACAGCTTTTTTTAATTCGTCACTGTAGTAGTTATTTCCATACCCGTACCCTTTGCTGTATAATCCACCTCCGTATCCTCCATATCCACTATAGCCATAACCTTTGGCTAATAGATTTAATAAGCACACAGTTTGTAAATGTAGATGAAAACTTACATGTCATACTTTTTTTTATTAAAAACATTTTATAAAATAAATGAAACATAATTTACTGTATGAATTATAACTGGGATCTTCTATTAAAGCTTTTTTTGATTCGTCACTGAAGTAGTTGTTTTCATACCCGTACCCTTTGTTGTTTAATCCGCCACTGTATTCACCGTATACACCGTACTCACCATATCCATATTCCTTGTCTAAAAGATTTAATGAACTCAAGTTGTGTAAATTTAAATTAATATTTAAAAATTGTTATTTTAAATGAAATCATTATAACCAATATTTTAAATATGGTTTACTGTATGAATTATAACTGGGATCTTCTTTCATTGACGTTATAGATTCGTCACTGTAGTAGTTGTTTCCATACCCTTTCCCATTGTTGTATAATCCACCACCGTATCCTTCGTACCCACCGTATCCATAGCCTATAAATAAGTTATTAAACAAAGTAACGTTAAAAGGTTTTTATAAACAATATATTTATATACAAATTATAACAAGTTTAGTAAAGTTTCTAATTATTGAATATAAAATCATTTAACCATTAATATGATATTAAGATTTAACCTTAAGGCAGTATTAAGTCAAACGAACAAATCTTTGTTTTGAAGTTTTTTTGTTGCTTACAATTTGATGAATTGTTAGTTAACTATGAAATTTTTTTACTAATATTTACATAAAATAGTTATTGAATAAAAAGTTTAAAAACCTACCGTTTCCTTTATTGTACGAACTTAGTATCTTTCCACTTCTTGCATAAACACAAAGGTTTAGGAAAACCACCATAAACAATATGTTTACTGTGTTCATATTTTAGATCAGGTTGAATAAATTACACTAAATAAAAACAATCTACACATACGCGCACACTCAAAACATTGCCTATTTATACAAAATGTAACTTCCTTGTTAGTGACGCAAATAAACAAACAAAATTAGAATAACAATGCCAAAAACTTGTTTGCAGTATTTTTATTACTTTTTGTGGGTATTTGTTGCTTTTTTTTTAATTGTGAAAGTGAATTTTATTAAAAAAACGTGTAATTTGAAATTTCAAAATATAGAAGAGTTGTATGTTTAGTTAAAAATATAGAATCTCGCCCGGCGGCTAAGTAATTTTCTGACAAAAGGCAAACATTTTTGGAAGGCGAAAGCTGTTGGGGGTTGTCTCCCAATAAATTTTCAGCGAAAAAAGATTTTTCTTCCGCCTCTAGTGGTTTCCGCTTTTTTAATAGCTGCCGCAGCCAAAGTTTTTTCTTGGAGGCAAAATGTTGTAAAGAATGACGCTAATAGGGAAGCGAAAGCCATTATTGGTAGCCTTCAGAAAAAGTAATTTTGAAGACGCCTGCAATAGTTTATGCCTTCCAGCTAGCTTCTGTAATTAAAATAATAACACGTTTGTTTTAATGTTGTTTTAAGTTAACGAGCAATTAAAATATAAATTATAAACAAATGTAAAAAGTTTGACATCAAAGTTTCGTTTTATGTAACTTATTGTAAAATGTTTGACCATTAAAAAAATCTTAATTTTTTTTTTAAACTATCAAATTTTAAACTACGAGCTGTTTTATTTTTTGAAATGTTTCTTACTCCGACTCTCCCGTTTATTCCCCTGTTTATTAGATTTTATAAATATATTTCTGACCCCCCCGTTTATTAAGATATCCACGTCATTATATTTCGAACTGAACTGCATAGACTTTCATCAGAAGTAAAAAAGTACTAATATAAAAGTTGTTTTAACATAAGGTTTATAAAACTGGTTTATTAGCATTTTACTTCTCATAAAGCCTAAACTTTCGTTAACAAGTTCTCAGAAAAGAGGTTGCTTTTAAACAAGTTCTCAGAAAAGAGGTTGCTTTAAAAAAATTATTCTAATTACTTGTTGATGTAACATCTTCTGTAATCGATAAAGATTGTGTAATTGTACAATAAACAATTGCATATAATCTCAATAATTGTATATAATCTCAATAATTGCATATAATCTCAATAATTGCATATAATCTCAATAATTGCATATAATCTCAATAGTTGCATACAATCTCAATAATTGCATACAATCTCAATAATTGCATACAATCTCAATAATTGCATATAATCTCAATCATTGCATACAATCTCAATAAATGCATATAATCATAATAATTTCATATAATCTCAATAATTGCATATAATCTCAATAATTGCATACAATTTCAATAATTGCATACAATCTCAATAATTGCATACAATCTCAATAATTGCATACAATCTCAATAATTGCATACAATCTCAATAATTGCATACAATCTCAATAATTGCATATAATCTCAATAACAAAAGTCATTACACTGCTAACTATTATTTACATTCAAGAAATTAAATTTGTTAGATTAGACTCGAAACGGACATTATTGAACTGGACATTGGAATGGATTGAAAAATGGGCCGTTGTTGCCAAAATTAATTTACGGAATTTGTTATTTTAGCATTTTTAATAATTAGAAATAATAAAAAATATTAGTCTTCATAAAGTTATTGAAAATAAGTTCAAAAAAGAAATACATTACACCCACACTCAATAATTATCACTATAAAAGAAATACACTACACAAAAAAGAAATACACTACACCCACACTCAATAATTGTCACTATACCCACTTATACTACAGTACACCCTCACTCAATAATTATCAATTATCAGTATTTATTAACTAGTATTAACAAAACATAGCTCACTTTTTGTATATACAAAATATTCAATTCAAAAAACATCTAAAAACTCTACTAATTTATAATGAAATTGTCCAATAACTTCACAAACCATTCTGGCAGCAGGTATAGCAGTTAAATATTTTAGAGATATAAAATAGCACAATGTTATATAAAAAATATTATTAAATTGAAGCTTCAGAAAAAGTGCAACATCGCTCTAATAGAATTGTTCCTTTGTTGAAGAACTTGACATACGATGAAAGGTTGAAACGTTACACTTAATATTTATGTGTAATATTTGAATCTAATATGACGTTTTTTTAATTGAACCCATCCTTTAACAAGATGTTTGGGGTTAATTCCTTTACAAAGTTCTTTTTCGCACTTGATTAGCATAAGACTATCCAATCTCTTATCACTCATTGTTGTTCTCAGATGTGATTTTACTATCTTGAGTTAACTGAAAGAGCGCTCATTTGATGCTACACTATAAATAGCTGTAATTACAAAAATACATATTTTGTGGGCTTGTTTCAGTATGTCCTTTAATTTCACAACATGGTACAAAATGTGTTGCAGAGTCTTAGCTGGTATTCTTGTCAACTTGAATTCTTCATCACCTTTTTCTAGATAGATGTCTATCAACATTTTCATCTCCAGACGTTCATGTGCTTTTTAGCACATGAGCGTCTGGAATTTGATCTTTGTATCCAGGTGGAAAATGTTTGTTAGCTTTTCTTTAAGTTTCAATACTCAAATTGCTCTTATTTAAAGGAAAACTAAAGGTTTTAATGATGGGTGCAAATATTTCCTTTAAACCCGCTGAGTTTTCAATTAAAATCATAGCTAAAGAGTCTATGACTTCTTTGAATTCTTTCCGTTAAAAAGCTTTTATCTCCATTGCTGTTATTCTATGGTGTAGTCCGTATTTTTTTTCTGCATCAATGTGTAATTTCCGAGAAAATGTCACTTCACTTTCAATCAAATCATTCATAGCATCTTTGTCGTTACTGATATTTGAGATGTTCTGAAGAAGGTCAATAACCTTCTCTGAACACATTGAACTCACGTAGTCATATGACTTAAAGGCCACCTTTGATGTGTCAATGCCTTATTTATGTAAAGAAGATAAAATTAGCGTACCCATCCCTTCTCCAGTCTTATTAGTGCACTCGACTGTTTTCAAAAGTCTTTCCCGAATCTCATAACTATACTCATTATGTCTTTGTAAGACATATTTAGAGTAGTGTCGACCATCACAAAAAAAATTGGAGCTATTAATTTCATCAATGATCTGTCTCTTCAATTCAGTTGCGATTCAACTAATCATTTTATTTTGAGATGATGGACTCGTGTATGTAACTCTATATGGACAAAGGGCTCTATCTTCAATCCAGGCTTTTAGTGTGGGATTGTAAAGTTGAGCACAGTTAGATTCCCAAAACGCCAGCCTTTGGCTTCCTAAGTTCTTGCACGTATTGATAAGAATTTCAACAGTTTTTCTATTCTGTAGCTCTATTTTATGCCCTTCTATCCGAGCAAGTAACTTGGATTCATCAATAAGTTGATCTATATGTTTCTTTTCCATAAGAAAGTGACATTATTCACCTAATGTAACTTTATGTGCTTGACCTAAAGTTTGTCTTTCTCATAACTTTTCATCTTGGACCAAGATCTCACCCTAACATTTATCCAAACATCTTCAGTTTTTCTCTTCTTCTCAACACCCTTGGGAAAAAAATTGCAATTATTGGAGTCTTGTAAAAAATTGCAATGATTGGACCCTGGGAACAAAAAAAACCTAAAATTTCAGCTACACTTGCCCCAAACGTGAGAGCAACAAGTTGGTAAAATAATTTTTCTACTATTCTTAACTAAATCTATATTCATCGATAAATTTTAAAATTCACACAATAATCTCTTAGCGTTCAATGACCATAAAATGTTTGAACACCCCTCAATTTGAGGAAGTTGAAAGTTTTATAAGGCCATAATTGTTAAATGCTAAGAGATTATTGTGTGAGTTTAACAATTTATCGATGAATATATACTTGGTTGAGAATTGTAGAAAAAAATATTTTATCAACTTGTTGCTCTCACGTTTGGGGCAGGTGTAGCTAAAATTTTAGAGCTTTTTTTGTTCCCAGACTCCAATCATTAAAATTTTTTTCAAAGCATCTTTATTTGATATAAGTAGAAACATATAAATTTATGGAGTTTGCTCCATGTCTGGAAATTAGTTCTTTCAAACATAAATAAATGCTGCATCCGCGCCTACTTTTTTTCTCGGCCAGGAAACTGGGGTAAATAATCTGATTCAGAATTTAATTCTGTAAACTTCTCTGCTTGTTCCTGAACAACAATATAATCCAGATTTTCCCCTTTTGCGTCTTTATCTTGAACTTCTGAACTTGCGTCCTCTTTAAATTTTTTATCAGAAGATGTTGTTTCTTCTTCTATGGATATACCACATGTTGAAGTTGATGTTCCGAGTCAGAACTCTAACCACTGCGTTACAGCTGCTTTTCATGATCTGGAAAACAAACTTAGATACTATAATTTACTGTAATTTTTATCACCGATTTCTCAACTGTTCTAACTTGTGGCAAGGAAATTCCTAACTTTCTCTTTCCAAGATTTTGAGGCCCTCTTCCCCTCAAAGTTCCCCCTCCACCTCCTCAAAGCGACGTCCCTACTAGCGATCACAAGACAAATAATTATATCAAATAATTACTTTTTCTTTTATTTCCTTCAAAAATGTATAAAAATTAAAAGAAAATTTTTGGTAAGGTAACTTTTATAGAAAAGAAAAGAAAAATAAAGTTTTAAAAATTTAATCGCAATTTTTTTATATTATTATTCAATTTTACATGTTTTTGACCACAAAAGAAATAAAAAATTTTATGGAAAAACCTTCTTATAACTTTTTTGCTAGTACCATTGCAGTCATTTTAAACTTATTTTCGAATTTTTCATTAATATCTAGTGGTCCCAGATAGAGACAAGGTAAGCCACTGCCCCTAAGTAACTTTTATTTACAATTATTCACTTATTGTTAACTTTTATGTTCCAAAAAAAACGACACAAACTTTTATGTTGTACAAAAAAATAAATTTAAACATGTTTTTTTCAATGACAATCTCTACAAAACCGAAGTTATTTCATTCTAATTGT